AAGCAAGATCCAATTTGCAGATATCGGCGTGTGGTTTGGAGGACTCCTAATTAGTCTTTCAACCCTGATCTCCTTGACATCCTAATGATCGAGATGGAGCTGTAAGGTGACAAAGTGACGGAGTATGTCAAGGACGGGTTTTATTGCTTTGAGGGTAGCACATCCTTGGTCAGTACCAAAATTGTATCAGTGGTTTAGAACTAATTCATGAAATACATTCCGATTACTTTGAGAAGGACAGTTATCGAAGATGTTTTCCTGTTTCCCCTGCATCTCACTTTTAAAGAGAAGAATCATAGCGTCGTGTGACTCAGGCCCACATTGCTAGATGAATATGCTTATGTTCTGGATGTGGCGGGATTATATGTACAATTTACGGAACCGTGGAAGAATTTAGCGGAGTGGATGGAGGCTTGTTTGAAGCGGGCACTATCGTTTAAGAAGCTCTTACAGATGAGAACTTGAAAGCTTGATCCAGTTTGTGAAGCTTTTGAGTAGTGCCACTGAGGAAGGACAAAAGGTGCGTCGGAAATTGCGGGGACAAAACTTTTCCAAGCAGTTTTTAGACGCATTGTGCTGTCCTGCTTGATTGAGTAGCGCCATACCAAAAAAAAAAATACAGAATCTTTCATCCAGAATGATGTAGCTGCTTTAGGTCCCCTCATTTTAAAATCGGAAAAAGCCATCAGAAATGGCTTTTCTAATTTGCCTAGAATGCCTTGCCAACATCATTTTTTTAGATTATTCTGTTACCTAACAAACTTTGTTTGTTAAGATATTTTCCCTTTGATTTTGAAATAGACACAAGTTAGGAAACTATTATGTATAATGCTCTCCACAATTTTGACAGTATCATGCCAATTCCCTGTAGCATGGTATAGTCTAAATCAATTCTTCATGTTTTGCATCTCTAGACTCTTGAAACTCTAATTTGCAATGCTATTTTTTATTCAAACTATTTTAAAAATTAAATTTACTTTTTGGTAAAGCAGTCTACTTGTGCATAAGTAATATTCACATGCATTTTTTGTATTGCATACATATTCATCTTCATAAATATACTTTTGAAACAGATGTGATTAGAGCAGAAGACAAGACATATTGATATGTATATTTTCTCATTTCTTGTTATCGAAAAATAATCTAATTTTCAAAAATTTTTAACAAATATTTGGAGACTTTCAAAAGCTAAACATTCAAAAATCTGAAAATTTGCTAGTTCGTGAACAAATTAATAATCAACGAAATTATCTCTTTTGAGTTTTCATTCAAAGTAACTTGGTTGAAAATAAAGATGAAGACTAACTTAAACACGTGAAATAGACTCGCGAATTTAAAAACTTGCAAGATGACCATTGCAAGCAGCAGCCAAATATTTCAAGGAACATTTCTTCTTTTCATTTTCATTTATTCAAGGCATTGATATTAATAAAAGAAAATATATATAGTATATATATATATAATCTAATTGAATGAATAAGATCTTTTTTACGATATAATTAATTTTTGTATGTTATGTCGTCTTAACTCTATTAATTAGTTTCTATGTTCAAAACAAGTAAATATTAGATATAAATGACTGACATGAGATCAATATCAATTTCATTTTGTGATGAAAAATACAACATATTTGGATATGTAAGATAAGAGATAAGCACTAGTCCACTTAATCTCCATTATGATATTTTTGCCCATGGAAACCAAATTTTTTTTTTAATCTTTTTTATCAACCCCTCTTTACTTACGGGATTTAAACTATTGCAATTTGACAGTATTTCGAGATCACAAGCTTACTTACATCTCTCTTATTGACATCATGATTATGTAAGTGGCTTATGCGATCGTAACGAAAATGTGCTAATATCCGATATCTATCCCGAGCGTTTACTAATATCATCAGTTTACAGTTGATGGTATAGACTACTTTTGTTGTACAATTTAATTTGACATATTCTGCCAAATATGTATCGCAAAATGTATGGTTATCAACTTTTGTTCTTATTGCATTTTGTAAGACATCAATGTATACTGTTCATTGATTTAAATATACTCTTGCATAAAGGCTCTTGATTTGTTGCATAATAACATTCACTTGTATTCTGTGCATTGTCTTGAGTTCACCCATGTGGATAGACTGGTAGTCACCATTGTTTGAACATGGTTGGCATGAATGCTATAGTAAGCCATAAGGGTTGACAACGGGTTGACAATGGTGGCCAGTAGAGGCTAGGAGATAAGGCTGCGCGTAGAGGAGAGTTGGCAAGTTAATGCTTTCCATATGGACTGCGGATTGGACTTTGGTCTCCATCTCCTCGTCTTATATATATGAGTTAGCTTACAAGCAGCATTTACCAGTAGAACACCAAACTGACTGAGCTACCAGGTAATACACACAAGTGTGTATTCATCTCTACAAGGTGAGAAGACAAGAATCGAGTTAAACGAGAGTCAGAGAGTGTGTGAGTTGAGTGAGAGAAGGATCCTCCTCTATTAGTAACTATTTATTTGTTTTATTGGAAATCTCTTGTTTTCTCCATGAATGTCAAGGCATTGAGACCGAAATCAGTTAGTAATCTTATGTGTCATATTGGTAGTTTTTTTTGGTAAGTTTAAGTGTGGTGTGGCCTTAAAACCCAACATGCATTGCAACATATTTCATTTTCATTAAATATAAAGTTTCGACAA